CTCAAAGTCAGAAGAGTTAAGAAATTTTCCAAAGGTCCTAAGGCTAGAAGGGGAAAAGCCAAAATTCAACTCGGGAAGTCTAACTATAGATTGCAGGCCCTTCACCCCTAGACTACCCTGCCTCTCATATTTCACATGCAAACAGATGTATATACCATGTATACTTTAAAAATATACAACAATATACCTGCCATCTACCTGAAGGAACAGAATATTACCAGTAAGTATCTTATCAATCCAATAGGCCTCAAGCATATATTCCCCTAGGTACCTGCCTCTTCTCTCAAAGTAACCATTATCTTGAATATTGGGCTAGTTCTCTTGGTGTTTTATAGTTTTAATGTCTATATCACTAAATAATATATTGGTAATTTTCACTTCATGTGAATATATTCCTCTAAGGCTTATTAAAATCAACATTATGTTTTTGAGATTCTTCCCAATTAATGAGCACAGCTTTCGCTCACTTTGGGGGTGAGGGAGGTACTATAAATTATCCGATGTTTTGTTTACCCATCCCACCACTTGACATGCAAGTTACTTAAAGTTTCTGTAATACAAACAATTCTGGGTGGGACACAGTGGCTCATGCCTGTATTGGGAGGCCAAGGCAGGTGGATCACAAGGTCAGGAAATGGAGACCATCGTGGCCAACATGGTGAACCCGTCTCTGCTAAAAATACAAAAATTAGCTGGCCATGGTGTTATGTGCCTATAATCCCAGCTACTCAGGAAGCTGAGGCAGGAGAATCACTTAAACCGGTGAGTTGGAGGTTGCAGTGAGCCAGGATTGCACCACTGTACTCCAGCCTGGGTGACACAGTGAGATTCCATTTCAAGAAAAACCAAAAAAACAAATCTGAGTTTATCTTCTTGCATGATTGATGGTGCAAGAGTTCTTCCAGGGAAGTTGGTTCTCGGATTTTAGCAGCATCAGAATTACCTGGATAGTTTGTTACAACACAAATGATTGGTCTTACCATTGAAGTTTTGATTTGATTGATCTGGGGTGGGGCCTGAAAATCTGCAATTTTCTCTTTTTAAAAAATTTTATAAAAAACATTATGTAAGTACAGACAGGATCTTGCTATGTTGTCCAGGTTCATCTGGAACTCCCAGGCTCAAGTGATCCTCCTGCTTCAGCCTCCCCAAGTGTTAGGATTACAGGTGAGACCCACCGTGCCCAGCGAACTTTGCATTTTTAACAAGTTTTCAGGTGCAGCTGATGCCATGTAGCTCAAAGGATCATGCTTTTCAAAACTACCACTGCAGGGTACAGACCTAAGAGTGGAACTGTTGGGCTCCATAAAAACACCACTGGCATTTTGGTTATAATTGTACTGATTCTATGGATCAATTCAGGTACACAGCTCTACTCCTTAGAGCCTTTAAGTTTTAAGAATTCTTTTGTGTACGTTTATGCAAAGAATATAGGCTGAAATATCCAAGTAACACAAGTCAGCCTGTAGAACCTCACTCTGAAAAATATCTTTCTCTGTGGTTAAGGGTCTCTTTCTTTTCTTCTTTTTCTATTGTCAGAAGTCAGGATGTTGTGGCCAGAGATTCCCTGTGACACAGGAGGATGCTTTGGATAGAGTTAGCTCAAGGCATGGAGGGTAACAGTCATTTCTGAGGGGTCAGAGGTGAGTGGAGTCTCATCTATGCTTAGTTCATTAAATTAGAAAAAAGGCTAAAAATTCAGCCTTTACAGTTTTGGTATGTATTATTTTTCAGGCCCAGGTACTTTCTAATTTTCATTATAATTTTTTCCTTTGATTTATAAGTTGTTTCGAAATTTGGTTTTTATTCGATTTGAGTTTGCTTTTCTTTACTAAATTAGAAGGTACTCATTATTATTTTAAGTTTTCTTGGCTATTTAAACTTGCTTACTTAAAGCCTAAAGTTAAACACCATGAACGTCTCAAAAGAACCATAGCATATGTTAGCTGAGTAACACCCCTCCCTTGACAATTTGTATGCTATTTTTATGCAATATTTTATAGTTCTATCATTTTTAACCTCACACATTAGACATTCTTATTGTTTTATATAGTCAATGTATATTTAAACATACCCACATGTTTATTAATACCTTAGCTTAATAATCCATTTTACTTCTCAGATATTTCCTCTGGGATTATTTCCTTTTCTTATCTGAGCACATCCTAGAGAAATTTCTTCAGAAGAAGTGAGTTGGCAGTAATATCAGTTGTTGTTCTGCCTGAAAATTTAATTCATCCTTATGATTGATAGTTTTACTACATCTAAAATTTCTACATTGACAGTTATTTTTTTCTTAGCTAACTGAAGATATAATCCCATCACTGGCACTGTTTGCTTTCAAAAGTTGGCTGTCAGTCTAAACGTCTTTTTTTTTTTTTGACAGAGTCTTGTTCTGTCACACAGGCTGGAGTGCAGTGGTGTGATCTTAGCTCATTGGAACCTCCGCCTCCTGGGTTTAAGCGATTCTCCTGTCTCAGCCTCCTGAGTCAGATTACAGGTGCACACCACCACACCCGGCTAATTTTTGTATTTTAAATAGAGATGGGGTTTCACCATATTGGTCAGGCTGGTCTCGAACTCCTGACCTCAGGTGATCCACCCACCTTGGCCTCCCAAAGTGCTGGGATTACAGGCTTGAGCCACTGCGCCCAGCTTTTTTTCCTGGCTGCTTTTAATATCTTTTTGGGAGGCAAGGAGGGTAAAGTTCTTCAGTTTCTTTTTTTTTCTTTTGAGACAGTCTCACTCTGTCACCCAGGCTACAGTGCAGTGGCATGATCTCAACTCACTGCAACTTCTGCCTCCTGGGTTCAAGCAATTCTCATGCCTCAGCCTCTGGAGTAGCTGGAATTACACACATGCACCACCATGCGTGGCTAATTTTTGGTATTTTTAGTAGAGATGGAGGTTTTGCCATGTTGGCTAGGCTGGTCTTGAACTCCTGATCTCAGGTGATCTGTCTGCCTTAACCTCCCAAAGTGCTGGGATTACAGGCATGAGCCACCACATTTGGCTGTTCTTCAGTTTCACTATTTTATTTCTTCTTCCAGAGATTTTTAGGGCTTTCTGAATCTTATGTTTACTATTGTCAAAAAATTCTGGAACTTTCCATCTTCTATAGTTTATCCTTTTGGAATTCTATTTGAGCACTTTAGGCCATCTTTTTAGTCTCTTAACCTCATTTCACATTTTCTTTTCCCTTTGTCTAAGCCATATACTGGATTATTTATTAGATAAATTTTCTAATCCACCAGTGTTCTCTTCAACTAGTTCTAATATGTTTAAGTCAGTCAATTTTTAATTCCTGTTTTTATGTTTTTCATCTCTAGAATTCCATTTTGTTTAGTCTTTTCTGTGTGTGTGTGAGATGGAGTCTCGCACTGTCACTCAGGCTGGAGTGCAGTGGCAGATCCCGGCTCACTGCAACCTCTGCCTCTTGGGTTCAAGCAATTCTCCTGCCTCAGCCTCCCAAGTAGCTGAGACTACAGGCATGTCCCACCATGCCCAGCTAATTTTTTGTATTTTTAGTAGAGAGTGAGTTTCACTGTGTTGGCCAGAATGGTCTCGATCTCCTGAGGTCATGATCCACCCGCCTCGGCCTCCCAAAGTACTGGGATTACAGGTGTGAACCACAGTGCCCGGTCATTTAGTTAACCTCTGCCTCCCAGGCTCGAGCAATCCTCCCACCTCAGCCTCCCAAGTAGTTGGAACTACAAGCATGCACCACCATGCTCAGCTAATTTTTGTAAAGATAGGATTTCACCACCTTGCCCACACTTGTCTTAAACTCCTGTGCTCAAGTGATCCTCCTGCCTCAGTCTCTCAAAGTGTTGACCCACCATGCTTGGCTAAAAGAAAGTTTCAGAAGCAAATTAAAATATTTATATTTTTGTAAGCTTTTGTTTCTTTGTGCTTTGAAACCGAGTCTTGCTCTGTCACCCAGGCTGGAGTGCAGTGGTGTGATCTTGGCTTACTGCAACCTCTGCCTCCTGGGTTTAAACAAATCTCATGCCTTAGCCTCTCAAGTAGCTGAGACTACAGGCATGCATCACCATGCCCAGCTAAAAATAATTATATTTTTGGCTGCTAAATCCAATAAAGAAGTATTTGCAGGTTCAGTTCTGGTGTCTCTGTTATTCCTGCTGGCTTTTACTCATGGTGGCTTGTGTTCTAATTAAAGCTGCCTTTCTTCAGAGGTGTTTTCTGTTTATTTCTGAGAGTCTTCTAAGGATGTTTAGGTTATTACACTGTCACTAGACTCTAAGAAATACTTACTTGGATCTTTCTCTCCTTACCAAATATTCATCAAAAGAAACAATTCTCCAACAGATGACTATCAATGGTGGGGTATATTTGCCATCACTCTCATTAACAGGATCAAAAATTGGATTATTTCTACTTTAGAGGATATGAAGTAAAAATGTGAGAAAGATATGCTGCTGAAATGCCTAAACACTCAAATTTTTTACCACTTGTATCCAGGTTCAACTTAAACAGGATTTTATTTGGCAGAGAAAGTACCTCTTTTTTTTTTTTTTTTCCCAGGGAGCAGGCAGAGTCTTGCTGTCACCCAGGCTGGAGTGTAGTGGCATGATCTCGACTCACTGCAACCTCTGCTTCCCAGGTTCAGGAGATTCTCCTGCCTTAGCCTCCTGAGTAACTGCAATTACAGGTGCCTGCTAACACACCTGGTTTCTGTATTTTTAGTAGAGACGCGGTTTCACCATATTGGCTAGGCTGGTCTCGAACTCCTGACCTCAGGTGATCAGCCCACCTTGACCTCCCAAAGTGGTGGGATTACAGGTTTGAGCCACCACGCCCAGCCAGAAAGTACCTTTCTTATAAGAAAGGTAATCCCTTCTGCAGTTTGGATACATACTGTAGTATGTATCCATATTAGCCTCTAAGTCAAGAATTATGAAAATTGCATCATTATTATTTCAGGCATGTCATGCAAGAATGCTTGAGGAACAGCCCTACAATTGTAGAAATGCACAAACCTGTGAGGATCATCCGGATCACAGTTAGGAAGAAACTGAGTGATTGCTTCAGCTACTTCTTCATTTGATAAAACGTCCCAGAGTCCATCAGTGGCCAGGATGAGCACATCATCCGCTCCATGCTCGTATTTTGAAAGATCGTAGATTCTTACCTGAAAAAACACAGGAAAACTAAAACTTAAGAAATTGGAAGCATATTATTCTCGTAACAGATCGTCTTCTGATTACCCTTCCCTTTTCCTGCCCAGCCTAGTGGTTTTCAGATATGCACTGTAGGGTACTTGATTATATAGCGAGCTTTGTGGCCCAGGATAGTCTCCCTTGGAGGTTTGCTATATAGACGCATGGGGCCTAATACACAATTGTGAATGAGCCTAAGAGGTAGGCTTAGTAATTGACAGAGAAGAAATTAATTGAAAATATAATGCCTGAGGTATAGTCAGAATGATGATTTACAAGTGGATTTTGTGCTAGGCAGAAGATCAGCAATGGGCTTGTTTGTGGTCTTCCTTTGCACATTCATTCAGCAAACATTTGTTAAGGGCCTACCCTGTGCCAAGTGCTATAAATGCAAAGTTAAATATCTGATTTTTCTGCTTCAGAGGAGCTCTCAGTCTGTGGGAGAGAGAAAGCCAATTCAGGATTCTTAGTAGCTGCTCTACATGTATTTATCTAGGAGTAAAGAGCTATTCTATTTAATGCACTCATTTGAAACCTTTCTTGCATTACCCGCTCTGAGGCCCAAGGAGCCAACTCCTCTCATGTAAGAGTGAGGCTCTGACACTGTCTTCAGGTTTGAGGAACCTCAACTGAGGCTCACAGAGGACACATGCTCACTCTGAACCTCGAAATATGTCTTTGTCTTGACAAACTTTAAATTCTTGCTCATGGCTAGTACCCCGAATGACTTGGAGGCTTCAACACCCACCTAAGTGCTTGAAAGAGAATGAGGCAGTCTAGGCAAAACTAGTAAGAATAAAAATCAAGCCTCACTTGGGCTTGGCCACAATTCTACGTCCTTCTTCCAGGTGGGTGGGGAGGGATAGGGAGGTGTGGAGGGGAGCTTGAGGTTTCACTACTATTCCCTCCTAATTTGGCAGAATCAACCCTACCTACACCACCTCATGAACTGAGAACAAAAGCAAGTCAATTTAATCAGTCTCCTTCAGCCCTTCTCATTACTCTATTTTCTTTCTTTCTTTTTTTTTTTTTTAATTGAGACAGGGTCTCTCACTCTGTCGCCCAGGCTGGAGTGCAGTGGCAACCTCCTGGGTTCAAGCAATTCTCTCACCTCAACCTCCAAAGTAGCTGGGATTACAGGCGTATGCCACTATGCCCAGCTAATTTTTGTATTTTTAGTAGAGATAGGGTTTTGCCATATTGGACAGGCTGGTCGGGAACCCCTGGCCTCAAGTGATCCACCCTCCTGAGCCTCCCAAAGTGCTGGGAGTACAGGTGTAAGCCACCATGACCAACCCATTGCTCTATTTACTAAAACCAAGGCTGAGTGAAAGCGATGGGTCAGGGCACGTGACCCATGGCACAGCCATTGTTATGTCACCTCAGATCTAGAGACAATCATACCACCTCAGCCTAGAGCTAAGTATGTTTAGCTCTCTGAAAGCCAAGCAACCTTTGTTTTAGAAAGGTTTGCCCAGGCTAGGGATGCCCTGCCATGGGGCAGTCCTGTGGGCTGACAGCCTTCCCAGCAGCAGAACACAACAAAATGCCTACCTACAGCGCCCTGGGTGAATGAGCGCAAATGAAAAGCAGCCACCAGGCGCCAGGCGTCTGTGGCCTGAGAACAAGAAGGTAACAATTAGCTAATGGCCCAGCACATGAGCCACTCTCAAGGGAAGAACACTCAGGGGTATACTGCACTGGCATTTAACATCTTCTTTTCAAAAGGCATGTTCACTTAAGGCTAAACTTACATTCCAGAGAAGGCACTGAGCCTTTTAAGCCAAATTAAAGAAAACGGGAAAACTTCAGTTTCCACCAGACCAGAAAGTTCCAAATGTCAGAATTCTGTCCTCAGGCTACTAACAAACGTGGTCCAATTTTCATTCTATCAGAAACAACCAACCCTCCTATGCTTTATTTTCTATGGTTCCTGGGTGTGTTAGAGCAGAGCTTCTCAAATACTAATGTGCACAGAAATCAGCTAGGCATCCTGCTAATATCCAGATTACAATTCAGTTCTGGGTGGGCTTGAGAATTGTGGTACAATTTCCTTCCAGGTGACACCAGTGCTGGAGGTTCACAGACCAAACCTTGAGTAGAAAGGCCACAGAGGATGTCTACTGGGCTAGATTTGTAAACAAGAGAATCAAAGGCTCAGTGGACTTTATGATGTCTGTGGAGACTGTTCATTACAGTAGGATATTGACAGAACTGTCGATGTCACCCCTGGGCTCCTAGCTTCAAGTACTGACTCACTGTGTTGTTACTTTCAGTATACAATAACTTTGCTTGAGAGAGACTGCTAATAGGAGGCCAAGGCAGGAGGATCATTTGAGGCCAGGAGATCGTGACCAACCTGGGCAACATAGTGAGACATTGTCTCTACAAAAATGGAAAGAATCATAGTAAGACCCTGGGCGTGATGGTGTGTGCATGTGGTCCCAGCTACTTGGGAGGCTGAGGCAGGAGAATTGCTTGAGTCCAGGATTTTGAGGCTGCAGTCAGCCATGATTGTGCCATTGCACTGCCTGGGTGACAGAGTGGGACCCAGTCTTTAAACAAAAATAAAGTGTGTTGGGGGGGATTGATTCCTGGCTTCTTACTGGGTTATATCTACAATAAATTTTTGTGATAACTTGAACTCTACATGATAGACAATATTAAGTAATAACAGGTGGTGAAATGTGGCTATCTGGTTGCCCAATCTTATGCTTGTAGCTAAACAGGAGATTCCACTTGCCTTGCAGCTTCTTCTAAAAGAGGGGTTTCAGGTCTGCAGGTAACATCCATTTAATTTCAGAATCTGCCCTATGAGTAGGGTGCCACACCCTCTTCAAACTGCTTCCTGCTCACCCAAGAAAAGTGACAGGTTGAGTTACTTAAGCTGAAGTTGTCTTGTCCACACTCAAATGGAAATCTGGTCAACAGAATGGGTGCAGGTTGATACATACACACGTTATAAAATGCTTCTCTTCAATTCCATCAGTGAATGTAATCTTTCCCTAATTCTATTGTTCACATTTCTATGCTTGGCTCCCTAATGTAGTTTAATCAGCCAGTATAAAAATCCTTTTCAAGACCATTCTTTATGTAATTTTTATGAAAATAATAAATAAAGCTGATCATAAACCTTAGTCTATGAAGCACAAAATGAACATCTTCTGGGGTTTTGACAGCTACCCTCTGTTTCCTGCCCTTTAGCCATATTCCAAAAAACTTTGCTAACTTTCCACTTACAACTCGTGTCTTATACATTAACCTGTGATGCAGAACATTTTGCAAAAATGTTTTCAGAAGAATTGGACTGCCGTGCAAGTCATCCCACTGTGTGCTCATCCTCCTCAGCAGCAAAGGCTTCAAAGGATTCCACTGGGCTCCAGAGTCCTGACCTTCCCTCCCTGAAGCTGTAGTTGGCCTTTACTCAATCGGACAAAACTCACATCCTCAAAGTTCCCCTGTTCAATTCCTTAAATAGCTTCTTAACATTCCTGGAAGCCTCACATCAAACTAAAGGGCTCTGAAGCTCCCCAGAACTCAGACATCTAGAAGAGTCTTTGCGGCTCTGGAGGGACAGGTATGCAACAGAAACACCTTTGTTTAAAGTGGGACTGGGGAACATGGTCAGGCCTTCTAATGTCTGCTTCCCAGGTTCCCATCTGCCAAGAAAGGGAGAGAAAAGCCAGACGAATCCTTGAGATTCTTGCAGTTTCTCAGAGCAATATAATCTGAGCAGCTGAGAAATGGGACCTGTGTGGACCTGCCTTTCTGCTGCCTTCAGTATGCTTTTATTGCATACTTGCTGTGCCGACTAGTTTTCCAGGCACTGGGGACACAGTGAACAAAACTGGCAAAGCCTCTCACAACTTCTAAACTAGTAGATGAGATAGACACACAAATAAATTACATTGTCAGAAGAGGACAGCTGTTCCGAAGAAAAATCCAGCTTGGTAAGAACAGAGAGAGTCATTTTAGAAGATGTGGTCATAGTGGGCCTCTCTAGGAAGGCACCATCTGAGCCAGTCAACTTCCCATGGGTCCCTTCTTTCATCTGCCCATCCTTCCTTTGGGTTCCTGTTACTCAGTGTTAGACTGGTGGTGAAGAAGGGGGGCTGGGAAAGGCGGGTATTCTCTCTTGCCAAAGCAAGCCTGAGGAGGATCAAAGAGAAGCCAGGGTCTTTTCCCTGGTCCTCTGCAGGCATAATCCTTTCACACCCACTAGTATAACATTTACTAATACGCTGCACTGTGAGTAAACCTTTGTCTATCAGTTTTGTATGAAACTGTCATCATCAGGCCAGGCGCGGTGGCTCATGCCTGTAATCCCAGCACTTTGGGAGGCCGAGGCAGGCAGATCACCTGAGGTCAGGAGTTCAAGACCAGCCTGGACAATGTGGCAAAACCCCACCTCTACTGAAAATTAAAAAAATTAGCTAGGCGTAATGGTGGGGACCTGTAATCCTAGCTACTCAGGAGGCTGAGGCAGCAGAGTTTGCTTGAACCCGGGAGGCAAAGTGACCTGAGATCATGCCATCGCACTCCAACCTGGACAACAAGAGCAAAACTCCACCTCAAAAAAAAAAAAAGGAAACTGTAATCATCCATTTATGGCCCTGTCCTGACACTAGACTCTAAGCACCATGAGGCTTGGGACTGTTTTATTCTCCTTTGCATCTTCAATGCCCAACCTAACACCCGGTTCACTGAATTAATAATGGCTGAAACTGACTGCCCCACAGAGATGAAGCTCTGTGCCTTGTCTTTTAGGTATAGAGAGTGATACATAGCATCTGATCTACCCTGGAAGACTCACAAGGCTGATTCCGTCTCAGCAGAATCTGAACCTAGAACATGGCAGAATATGATTGCTTTTGCCAGAGCAACCAGGTGAAGAACAAAAAGTGAACATGTTCCATCCCTCGTGAGGCTTCTGAAGCTTTCCTTATGATCTGATCACAACAAAGGAGAGTGG